CAAATTTTGTTAAATACTATAAAAATGTTATAATTACCTAAATATTCATCCTTTTTCAAATCAATTGATTTAAAAAGTGGTGATGGTGGACCTCTATCATTAACAGTCCACCAAATAGTATTTGTGGGAGCATCCTTATTCCAAACTTCATCCATTACTATTCGAAGTCGTACTTTCTTATTTTCTGGAAAGTATTCCTTAACATATTTATTGATCGTATGTAAAAGACATGTTAACTAATCATTAAATCGACATATTAAATTAATAGATTATATTGGTACATTAAATTAAAACTGTCAACTTACTTTTTCAGTTCTCTAGGATGGCTTATATATTAAAAGTCGCTTGCATTTTATAGAAGAACTGGGATCATTCTTTGGATCGCTTTCCTCTGGCGAATAGTAATCATTTCTACTTAATATCTTATTTACGTCCTCAATGCCATATCCCTTTATCTATTCTCTGTATTTTGGATTGTTAGTCATGGATAGAGCTCCTTTTAATCTTCACTCGCATTTCTATAATTAAGTAGAAAACATTAAAATTTCTGATAACATTTTTTTTAAAAAAAAATAAATTACCTCAGATAAACGATTTGTTATATGGCCTATACGCTTTTTTCCTTTTTTTGATATTTATTTAGTTTTACATCTTTCCATTTTCATTGTCCATTCTTATGATAATCGGATAGCACGTCTCAGATCAACCTCAGAGTTATTTGAAATTCACATTGCTCGAGAATTTTTTGAATGTAAGGTATCAATTCTCGTTTAAGTTGCGGGACTATTTTGCTAAATTTCTTTGTGTAATCAATCGGAAACTTATTAAACTTCACATTTTGTAATAAGCTTTTTACTTCGTTCTATAAATAATTATTATATAAACATATTAAAACAAGAAATTCAATCATTAATTTTATAAACGAAGTTTACGTAAGCATAATAACATATTAATAGAATTAACCCTGATTTCTTTTCGTTTCTTTTAATGAGTTGTTTCTGTGTCTTCTCTTGCAATTTACTATCCTTATATTCTCTTCCTCCTTCTGAAAAAGAATCT